GCTCGTGAAGTGATGCGGGCGACACCGCGCGTCGTTAACATGATAGCGGCAGGGGAGTCGAAAAGTTGAAGTTTGGCGCAAAACTTGATTCCAGGTAGAAAAGAGGGCAAGCCGCCGGAAGGCCGCCAGTAATTCGAATAAAATTGAAAACAAATAAAATACAGTACAGGAAATATTAGAATAAGGGGCTGAGATTATATATAGAGGCATCTATGGCGGGGTTCGAAACTATCCATAATTTGGGACGATAAGTAATACCTTGTCTCGACAATCCATCAAAAGCATAAACTTTTCCTTCTATCTTCCAGTCAGGGACCATTTCGAGACTTTCTACGATGGCATGGGAATAGGGGTGAAGGTCAAGCAGGTGTTCGGTTTTATCGTACGTCCAATTGCCGGGGCGAGCTACTAGATTCCTTTCAAGGGATAAGAAAGGAGAAGAGTGCTCCTGGAGGAATAGAGAAGCCCCAGATTGTGCCGCCAAATTACCGACATGCAGGTTGACTGCAAGACTTTAAGAAGTGGCATAAAGCATTACTATTAAAACGTACCATTTTCAAGTTTTATTTGATTCATGAGATATAATGCTTCTCCTCCGGGATAGTTTGAATAGGATATATGGGTCAGGAGAGATGTGATGGCCAGAGTACCCAGGATAGTGCCTCCGAAAAGCAGTCCGAACAAACGGGTACCCCATATCTTGTGCCTACAGAAGTGCATAAGTAAAGGATTATGGCCTCAATTTGTTCTGGTACTTACAACCAAGTGAATGCGCATGCCGCACATAGGTTGAATATGGGGACCACATATACAATAAACCGCCATTCCTTGTGACTAAGGAATGATATTATGGTGACAAATGTGATCGCAGGTGATGCTACTGAACGAGCGCGTTTGTCAACCACAACTCCGAGGAGGAAGAAGGGGAAGGCGACAGTTAATATCTTGGGTAAATGTATAAGCCAGTAAGAATAGAATGGGGCAGTCTGTTTTTTATTGTTGAGTATTGAAGTTTGGTCGGAATGACGACCGACTTACCCCCCATTCCACGCTCTTCCCCTGAACTACATTGAAGTTCAAGCCTTGCAGCTCCGGCCACATCCATTTTCTCTGCCAAAAGTATGAGTCAATGGATACTGTGGCAACTATGAAGAGTGTTAGTCTTGGTATGCCCGTTCGAATGATAAAACTTGCCGATAGAAGCTGCAGCAGAACAGATACCGATAAAGAATAGTCTTTTGAACTTGACTCTGCTCTTTAATAGAACAAAGAAACCATAAACGGCCAAATATACTGCTAATTCGGCTCGGAAAACCACAGCAGCAAATGTAAGCATCACCACCGCGACCTCCGAAGAACCGTCGATACTGATCATTTGCGCCAAAGCTTCATTGACTGGATATAAAGAGAGTTTCATGTCAATGACAATATTACAAGGGTATGACTAACTCACATGGAATCAAGGCCAGCATATTGGGGAGCGTCCTTCCCATCCAGAAAGGCAGATGGAACTGAATTGCACTAAGTAGCGCGAATAATATTGCTGTTCTTCTTCCGAATCGTCGCCATATAGACGCCTTTATTCTATTGAGGACAAGAGCATTGCAGGTAGCAAGTATCAGTCGTACTAGGGGAAGGTCACCTCTGGAATATATTTCGAGAATCAGTATCCTTACTTATTATTTGAACATCCAATTTGGTTTGGACGAGTCCAATTTTTGAGAGAAGGGCAACAACTGGACGTGCTGTCCCTCCTAAGAACACACTGCCGACGAACGACCTAGGCACTACTCCAGGGAACACAAAATGGTCGTACTATGAAGAAATCAAGTCAGATTGAATTATAGTTCTTCGCTGAGGCGAGTCGTAATAGAAATCTCGTAGGAATAGAGGATACGTAAACGAACCTTCCTCAGCGCAGATTTGGAAACTCCATGGAAGAACACATCATGAGCGGCGTGCAAGTTGAAGCTTTCTTCAACTTTGGTATAAGGGGCCAAGAAGACATGGGCCCAGGCAGCAGCTAGAAGGATAAGGTCGAGAGCAGATTCCATACTCGTCCGATTGAATTATTTTAAGCCATGACACCACCACCAGATCCAGGACCTGGATACTCGCGCATTTACGTAAGCGAAATTTCTCGAAAAGACTTTCTTTGTTCCAGTTTGAGAATAAAGTGTAACACTATTTAGTGTAGTACATATAAGACACGACGACAGGGAGGAAGGAATTGGAGGATGAGACGAAGCGAAGTCGTTGAAGACAATAAAAGAGCATAGTAGATAGTACGTCTAATCGTTTCAAAGTAGAGGTCATTAAAAATTATAAACTGCATCGTGGCAGAAGAGGTTTCACTTGTCCGACAGACGGTCCTCATAGTTGTGACTGATCGTCAATAACAATATCACAACGCTGAAAGAAAAGTCCACGACTTTCAGCGAATTCGTAGTACCTTGTCACCTTGCATATTTTGTTTGAGCATCGTGAGGGACTACAGGCTCCCAAGGAGGAGGATTGAGGATGGACCGTCTTGATAGGTGGGCGGAAAGGGTGTCACGATCACAGAGGGCTAGAAATAATGTGTAGGAGGAGGTGAAAGGAGGAAAGAAGAGCAGCAAGAACTAGCTCTTCTATTCGTCAATCTCGCCTTGGGGATAAGGCCGTTGATCGGGATCGTGCCCATGGACGCGAAGTCGATACAGGCATGTCCAGTTTGGCTCTCCCCAGTTGCTCCTAACCATTAGAACGACGATACCAATGTCGACGCCCAGATCTTGGATCTCCTGTGGCACTGAGAACGTTTGGATGTGCGAGGGGGCATGAACATCATACGTAAACTGCGCGAGGCGGAGATAATGAGCATCTGGAGGCAAAGTTGAGGGATAGGGATCCTCAGGAGATGGTGGGGTGCGACCTTCCCTGTTCGCGGCATTGACAAGGTCACGGTAATGTTGTTCTCGTCGTCGGTGATATTCAGCGACCTTCTTGACATTTTCAGCGCCGTCCACGAGTCCCCAGAGTTCCATCTTCTTGGGAGCAGACCGGACATCAAATGCCACCTCCTTAGCGGCATGATCAATAGTGACCTCGGAGATTATGACAGATCGGGAAAGCATGACACCAATTTGACCTGATGAACCCTTGAAAGGCCAGCAGTTACCAACATGGATATCGGGGTGAAGAGCTGTGACAGGAGGACGACCCTCTGTCGCACTCGAGCCAAACATTCCCCATCTACCCCAGAACGACCTATCTTCGATTTTGTATGTTTGGGTGGTCAATTGAGGAATCACTCGTGCTCCTGAGAAATAACCAGCATAATCGGCCTTGGCAATATCATCCTTGCCCCAACGTTGCACAGCAAGTTCGACGAGGTTACCAATGAGTCCAGTGACATCTTGACCATCAGTTGACTTGATAGTCAGCGACTTTCCGTCACTATTACCACCCCACCATCGGCTACCACTGGACACAGCAGAACCCTTGGAGTTGGCGATAGTGACGGCCTGTTTACTGGTGTCGACGGCGTCTTTGACACCGGACTCAGCAGCAATCAAACGATTCTCGAGGCCTTTAATTCGTCCATCGAATACGCCAGTGTCGACTTGGCTGATTGAGGCAATCATATTGGAGAGTTCCGTGCGGAGACCAGACATGGCAGCAGAAGAAGATGCTCGAAGATCCTTTTCTGCATCAATTCTGGCTTTCTGCTGTCTGCCAAGAGTGTCATCCATCGTATCGATCTTGTGACCATATTCATTGGATTTGCTCGCCAATCCGTCCAAGCGATCGAATGCTCTTCGTTGAGAGAATTGCATATCGATGACTTTATTCTCCATTTCTTGAAGACGTCGAGCCATATCTGCGAGGGCTGCTGAGGAAGCACCAGGAGCAGAGTAGTCGATCGGAGGGGGACGAGTTGGCTTCCATGGGATCCAGCTAGAACCCCCAGAGGTGGATTGTCCAGTACCATAAAGAGAATTGAGGAACAGCCAGACCATCATACCGAGAAAGATGGCCCTTCCAACCCAAGACCAGTCAGACCCAAATATTTTGTTTGCACCACCGGACACGAACGAAGCTGGTCGAACCAAGAGATAGTCGAATAACGAGACAATAAAGCGAACGAGGATAACAACAACTGTTGATGCACTTCCAATAGCATATGTGAGAATGGAGGCAAAGACTCGAACACTCAGGTTAACGAGTCTTCCCATCATTCCCCCAATCGAGAACGAAGATTGGCTAGGGTGGGCTTGAGATTCGTCGATGGCATACTCATCAGCGAAGTGATCTTCCGGCTGATCAGTTGACATGGGGCCATCAACGGTGGCATCGTACGAGTCTTGCCAAGACGTTGCGACGATAGGAGGTACCGAACCTCGGACGGAGCGAACGACAGATTCGCGGGCCTATTGAGATTGAGTCAGCACAGGAGTTTATCATCAAAAGTAGCCATGGACATACGGGAGTCTCTGACTCGGATCCATCCTCTTCTTGACCATCCTTTCCTTTTCTCTTCCTTCTGCGTTGTTTAGCTTGGGCTCCAACAACTGGCAAGTTGTTC